CTATTACTAAACTGTTCTTATCTCAACCTACAAGCCTCCTTATCCCCCAATCCTCTCCCTTATCCCCTGGGGGTGGGTGGGAGTGGGTGGATGGCTGTGTTGGCTGCTAGCCAAAGGCTAGCCCAGTGAAACTCTCATACCTTCCTTGAACACTGAAAGCCTGAAATGATTGCTAGTCACCTGGCATTTATCAGAGCCCTTTAAAAAAAGGTGTTTAAGTCGGAGATGCTATTTATTTTACATGCTAAATGATTAGTGAACTGCAAAAGCTAGTCCTCAGTAGGTAGGAAATGTCAGGAGCAATGTGGCCTTTGCAGTAAGATCTCGAGTTGCATATTGAACAGCAAGGACAGGGAGGTATTGAATAGGTCATGATTAACTGTGTACTCTGTCTGCACTATCAAATGGGGAAGGGTCTCTGAGGTATACAAAGCAAAATACACAGGCAGTAGTTCTGGCAGTTCCTGGCTTCTGAGTGCTTAGGTTCACAATCTGCATTACTATTTGAGTTAAACTGATATTCTTTGGGGCAAAAAAGAAGACAAGACAAAAGAGGACTTCCATCAGGCTGCAGCAGAGTGACACCCATATGGGTCATCAACAGGGCCAGAAAATGTTCAGTCTCCTGCTAACAGAGCCGGTGACACCCACAGCACTGTACCAGCCTTTATGTCAGCTCTACACCTACCATCCACAACTGTTCCTGTTCTTGCTTTCCAGCTCGAGCACTAATTTTAGGAGAGGCACCCCCGCGCATTCCCTGCTCCTGCAGTAACCCCATGGCTAGGCTTCTATGCATCACCACCAACAAGGGTGAGCTTGTGGTGTCACTATGTGTTAAGAGTATGAACCTGAGCTCAGCTAACGAATCGGTCCCTTAAGGGGACCGGGGCAATGAGATGCCTCTTAAACATCCTAGATTCAAACCCTGGCATTCACAACTGCAAAACTGTAGGTGCTTGTGTACTTTTCCTGGAGAAAACATAGGTGTAAGCATGGTTTAAATGAGGATTTCTGCATGACATCCTTGCCTGCAGGAGTTTAAATTCAGCCCATCATGCTCAGGGAGTTGTGAGAGGAAAGAACATTATCATACATTTACATGGTGCAGTGAAGTACCATGCAGAATTACCAGTCTATTGGCAACTGAACCAGTTCAGGACTCAGTACAGCTACACAAGTATGGTCCCATACCTTGGCCAGTTAAGCCTGATGAAAAGGTGGAACTAAGTCATTCAGTGAGAGAGCCATGCTAAAGGAGGTGTGCTGTGTAGACTTAAGACTAACTTGAGAAGTAAAACATTGCACCAATGCCTGTGCTATGGAGTTGGTTCAGGAACAACCCCAGATGACCAGTAAAAATTTGAAATTTACTTGGATACATGCTAATGAGTGCCATCTCCTATGTGGCAAGCTGACATTTTTCAAAGTCTTGTAATGCTATCAATTTCAGGCAGATTTTATAAAAGATATGGAAACCACATCATTAATTCAATAGCAACTCACTGTCAAATTCTGAGTTCTTGTTTCAAAGCATGAAGGTGGTAAGTGCGTTTCCTCAAGAATTTTCTTTGGTGGACAACAAACAAGAAAAGCATAGTTTTCACACTTTGTTCTTGGAATGGCTGAAACACTTTGATGATAATTTTTTTCAAATTAATTTTGCTTGCTACTCCACATGGAATATGCTAACCCAGATGGTTAAAATTTGAAGAAATTATATACCCACTGAAAACTGAGTCTTATAATGGCAAGCATTAACACTACTAGGTAATATTTTCTGCATTACTTATAGGCATGTATCTGGTAAAACACTTCAAACAGAGAGACAAGATTTAAAAAATTCTTACAGCTGTGCTGTGAAGAATTGTAAAAATAGCACAACTAAAACATCATTTCTTGTGATCACAGACTTTGTTAGAGAATACCAAACATTGCCGGAAAAACAGAGCCATTCGAAAAGTGATCTACTTGGTATGTATATTCTCACATAGAAATAAATTGAAGGCAATACCACCTATGCAGCAGTGACAAGTTAATTCAATTTCCATCTCAGAATCAGGTAAAGTGTATCTCATTTGTTACCATGGATACAAGACATTATTTCCATTTGTTTGAGATCTCACAGTGGGTATGAAATTAAACTGTGACACAGCTTCATGGAGGAAGTTGACTAAAACCCATATAAGTTCAATGCCATTAGTCCAAAGGATTTTCCTTTTTTAGACACACTAAATAAGCAGGTTGCTACTACTGCCCATGAAGTATACTTCATAAGCAAACATCTGTGAGATTTTGCTGATGCTATTTCAGATCAGTAGGAGTGATGGAAGAGAAAATAAACATTCATTTCATAAGTCCTGCAAAGGTGGGAAAGAATCCTGAAAAATGTCCAGGTGGTAGAAGTACATTAAAAATACATTGATCCTATGTTTTGTGCTATTGTTTGGCACCAAATATGTTTACAAAAAAAATTTATTAATTCTGAAAATGCATCAATTTTTTCTCAGATAAATATGCTTTTTGAACTACAGCTCAAATCACTTGCTCTCTAGTTTTCAAAGTTAGAAGAGAAAGAGGTGTATGAAAAAGCAGAGGAGAATGAAGAGGAAAGGAGGAGGAATAAATTTTTTTAATGCTGACATATATGTAGGGTTCAGGAATTCAGTGGCATTCAGTTTACTTTGTCTGAAATTAATTTTAGTATATACAAAAAGATAAAAGGGAATACAGGTCTTGTTGTTAAATTATTACTACTCAAGTCCTGGTTATATGTTTAATATTTCATAGAGAGACTGATTTCCATAGATGCTGAGCACCTGCTACACCAATGGATTTCAGCTAAGGTTGTCATCTCTCAACAATTATAAAACCAAGCTGAGATAAAACAGAGTCTACCTAAATCAAAGGTTTATTTCTAAATATTCATGCATGAACTCCACCAAAAGCACAAAGATTATGGGATGTCATGACTATGGCTAATCACTGAAATCCAAAGACATCATCCAGCTCCTTAATTGACTGATAATTTGTCACCAAATATTCTGAACTCCACCTCCCATGCTTCTGTGTTGCTGCCCTCCTCAGCGTATTGTCAGACTGGATTATCTGTAATGTCTTCTCCAGCTCCCTGGGCCATCTCTAATTATATCCCATTGGGAGTTAGTAGGTCTGACCCCGAGATGGCAAACTAGAAAAATTCAGAACCTCACAGCAAAATTGTGCTGAACATAGAAACTCTCAGAGGAATAGACTACAGTGTCCATTGCTAGCTGAACAGAGAGATAAGTAAGTCACTCTCTGTTATTGACTTGCATTATTAACATTTGCTTGAAGTTACAATACAAATCTATTTATATTCTACAGACTTGATTATCCTTCATCCAGACCCCAGGTAGGAAATTATAATAATGCAAAATGAGCATTAGGGCTCTAGCATTTTGATTTAGTAGTATTTTGTGCCCACTTTTCACTGATTTTAATGGAGAATTAGCACTAGGCTGAAATTTAGCACAGTATTTATATATGCAGTTAAATTTAATGAAGCCAGTGATATTTAAGTATCCATTTATATAAGGAAAAGATCATTAATAGACCTGAAGCATATCTAAAGTGTACTGAAATCTCAAATATTTCTGATTAATGACTTTATTCCTAAATTCAGGAAAGATTTTATTCCTGAATGGTCAATTATTTATTTTATATTTTTTAAAATATTTTGTTCAGAATTACTCCACTATACCATAAATCATCCTAATGTGATAATACTCTGCAGGTTTTGAAGAGGTTTATGTTCATATAAACACATGTGTAGGCTTGTCTTGTACTCTGCTATTTGCTGTTAGGTGGGATTTGTATACTTCTTGGATTCAACAGGTACCGTGATAGCAATGCAACTCCTAATCCAAGTAGGCAGCTCCTAAGTAAATTAAAATGTCTCCTGGTTTTTGTCATTAAAAAACAGCTTGATACAATCTGGAAGTGGGTATAACTTGTCTCCTTCTGGAACCTAGTAACCAGATGTGATAGTGTGCACGTGCTGCTTCAAGGCACAGATGATGGAGGCAAAATTAACCTCTGCAGTGACATCTTAAGAAGCTCCATGCTAGATGGGAATCCAGTCCAGCGTCATGGTGAGCCACTAGCCTTACGTTCTGTCATGTAAGCAGCTGAATACACGCACCTAGGCAGAAATGAAGTTATACACATGTATGTTGAATGAGAGCTGCTTATGTGTTAATGGAAGTGTCAGATGAAGCAGTAGGAGCACTCTGAATGTGTTTGCCAAGACTTGCCCAGCACAATGTTAGGAGTATACTGACAAATAAGGGAGAATGGATAAGATAAACTGAACCCCCCTGCAGGGACACATTGCAGTTTCTCTCAGACAGATGTCAGAGGAAAAAGCTTTGTTGTTGCACTTAAAAATTGCCTGAATGGAAAGGTTACATCCTATGGGTCAGCATAAATGATAAAAGCTCAGGAAATAGCACTGATGTTGCTATTCACTTGCAAGTTAGCAGGAGGGCAGTTTGGACAAGCTGGAGAAATCTCAGTCATCCTCAACAGTCAGCAGAAAAAAAGACAAAGCTGAGAAGTGGAGATGCATCTAAAGATGCAGATGAATGCGAACAAAGGCACCACAGAGCACTGGCTATGCCACACTGGACAAACTTTCTTGAACTTTTTTTGCAGAATCAGGGCCAATTGCATTAAGTGAGGAGAGCAAGAGGGGATGTACCAAAGTAATTTGTTTCTAAATAAACATGTATAAAGAATTTTCTTGAATTACTGATAGGTTTACAGTTTATGAATTCCCAAAATGACTATCCCTAAATACCTCCCTAAATACTCTCCTGCTTTACCCTATCTAAAATTTGTAAGATTTTGACTCTGAAAAGAAATCAGGACCCTCATGGCTAATAGTCTTGAGTAGGGCATAGCCTCATGGTACCACTTTCCCCAAAAAGAAGACCCATGCTTTTCTTCCATAGCAATACCTGCTGCATGCCTTGCATTGTCTGCTGCAGGAACTGCAGCTGCTGATCCTTCGTAAGGCTTTCTTCTGTTCGAAAGAGCTGTCCTTTCTCCTGTTTCAGGAGCTCCACTTCATTCCTGTAAGCATCCAGCTGCCACCGAAGACTATCGTTCTCTTCCTTTAGCGCATACGCTTGGGCAGCTAGAGCTAAGAAAAAATGAAAATGTGAAGAAATCAGCAAAATTGATTGTTTCCTCACAAATAATGCAAAGGACATTTTTGGGGGAGATGACAATACAGCTGAAAGCCAATGAGACATTTCTGAGCTGAGCTAAGACCCAGCAGAGCTGAAAATTATTAGGTTCTGGCAAAGACTGTTGCTGGGAAGTTATTTCCTGGGATGGAAGGAGCCATAAAGCGACCCTGGATAATTCAAACACTACTTGCAATCTGGCTGCTAAATATAGGCTTATATTTTCAGAAGAAACTGGCATGCAGTCCAAGGGCAAAGTACCCACCAACTTTACAATATTTTCCCAGTGATATTATAGGAAACAATACAATTGTTTAATAATTATAATAGAAGCTCCAATCAGATCTGTGCTAAGGAATTTTGACTATGTGAAGTTGCAAGATTTAATCCCATGAGAGAGGAAATACACAAATTCCTCTCGAATCTCGCTATGAACTACTTCGTAGCAATGGTTATGAGGAACCATTTAGACAGAAAAATGATGTAATAGAATAAAATTATATAAAATGCAAATGCTAAAAAAAAAAAAGTGTTGGCACTACAAGAACATTAGTACATTAAAGGCATTGAAAGACACTTAAGTCATTTCCTTAGGAAGCTCCATTTGGCCCCTTTTCAATTTAGAATGGCATTTTTATTATCATAACTGATGGCAGGTGTTTGCGAAGAAATCGATTAGTATGCAGGGATGGAAATTACATTTGCCAAATGACTTGCACAGTCTGCAATATAAGCTAAAATTTGTGTAGCAAAAGGCAGAAGGCCATAAAGCATGTACAAGGAACATTATTTAAATAAATTATCCAAACATAAATACATATAGGGAAGTGTGGCATTCATTACTTTAGGGATGTGGTTATCATCCTATAGAAGAAGGCACTCCTGGTAGTATTTATACTTGGCAGTAGCTGTGGTCATTTGGCATAGCAAACTGCCATACTATACTGTTTTCCTTCTTGGAACCTGGTAACACAACAACATTACAGAGCAGCGGTAATTAAAAAACAACAATCTACCATAGCCAATTCTATCAACATTTGGTAACTGAAGCACACAACTGATTTACATTCCTGCTTAAATGATTTCAGGCTTGGTATCACAAAATTCTTCCTTGCCCACCTATAATAGCAATATGGTTAAACTCCAAATTATAGGAAATTGTATATTAGCTCCATTTAATGTTAGGTCTCTCTTGACTAGACCTTTCACAGATAAAGAATCCCCTGTTCCTCATGATAACATGATTCAACACATTTGTGAAATTATATTAGCACTTAGATAGAAATTCACAATATTTCATTGCCAATAAAAATGTTTTATCTTCGATAGAGCAAATCTACCTTTTTCTCAGATAATTTTTACTAATTTTAAAATAGAACAAATGCATTATACAAAATAAAGTACAGTTAGCTACTACTCAAATACAGACATGGATTGGTTATTGCACTTAATGTGGATATGCTACAGAATCTCTCTGGAAGATTTAGCAACAGTTACAGTATTGTTACATCAAATTAACTTGTTTCGAAAAGCACGTAATCATCCTTCCATGACAAAATTTACCCTCAAGAAACCACAGTGATGAGTCCAATGGGCAAATAAGAGGATGATTTTTTTTTTTTTTTTTTTAAAAGCCAAAAAGCTAGGCTAAAAAAAAAAAAAAATAAAAGGAAAAAAAAAGCGCCAAGCAAATAAAAAGCAGTCTAACAAAAACTCAAGAAAAAATTAAATGGTTTGGGTTAGAAAGGGCCTTTACAGATCATCTAGTGCAATCCCCTAACCATAGGCAGGGACATCTATTAAATCAGGGTGCTCAAAGCCCCGTCCAGCTGGACCTTGAACAATTGGAATGATGGGGCATCCACAACTCCCTGGGCAACCTGTGCCAGTGTCTCACCATCCTCATCATAAAAAATTTCTTCCTTATATCCAAACTAAATCTACCCTCTTTCACTTTAAAGTTGTTGCCCCTTGTCCTGTCACTATAGGCCTTAGTAAAAAGTATCTCTCTGTCATTTGTATTCTCTTACTCATACCAATTAGACTCTCCTTAAATTAAAAAAAAGAAAAAAAGCTTTTTTAAAACACAATACTCAATTCTAGCCAGAAATTGCATATCCTTCTGCTCTCTTAGAGTACAAAAGGAGACCATCATGGGCATACTCAAATTTTTATGGGGGCATGGCAGCAGTAATTCATCTGCTGTCCATTGCCTAATCCAGCTCTTAAAAAACTTCTCAGAGCTACTGTGTAAGCAGAGTGCGTAAGGCTCTACATACGTGTTAATCCTCATCCAATCCACCATCCTCGGTGAAATGTGGGTTAGGACCCAGATTCAGCAGAGGTTCAGGCTGCACTACCTGGAAAAGTTGCTGTTGTGTATTTTCTGAGTCACATTACAGCCCAGTTTGGAGAACTCCTTCTTTTGCCCTCCTGAGTGAGTTCAGGCTATTGAGTGGACCTAGGGACAGCATGAGAAGTCTGCTGCAGGGGCAGCAAAGTAGGGGAAACAGAAAGGGCTACAACATATTGCAAAAGAAAGTAACTTGTAGGTGATGAACTTACAAGTTAAACCTAAACCTATTTAAACCTAATAAGGGTTTAAAAAAACCCTCATCTAAACGGAGCGAGTCACATTCTATATGAGCATAAGCACTCGTTTTTCCTTTAGAAATACAATACAGCTTTTTCACTGCTAAAAAATTCAGATTTTCACCTCTGAATGCCATTATTTTATTTTATTTTAAAATTAATTTTAGTATACTGTATGAAAACCTATCTGACAATAAGTATATTACAGCACTACCAAGATGTCCCAATCAAGGATGAGTGCCCCATTATTCTAGATTGCAGACACCAGAAGAAAAAGGTTGTATTTGGAAGAGGTTACAATCTATTTTGAGACAAAATGGAAATATCCCAAACAACCTAAAGTGAGAGAAAAAGAATACGGCAGAGATAAGTTTGTGACATTAAGCAGGATTCCCAGAGGTGTACAATTTTTTATCAACATTATTATACACTCTAGTGATCTTCTTAGCCATTCATAGTAAGCAATTAAAGATGGAGTCCAAGGTAGAAATATGTCCTTAAATACGTAGGATGCAACACATATAGAAGCAGTGTAACAGCAGAGTAAATTGTCACAAGCTTTTAAATGAATTAATTATAGATAAGAGTCCACAAATGATATGGCATTAAATACATGTAGTTCTTTTGCTATTTAATTTAAAGCTAAAAATAGTTCCTAACACATGCAGACAGAGTGGTTGGCAGAAAAGGAGAATAAGTCAAAGAAAGACATCTAGTGGACCCTGGGAGCTCCAGCTCATTCAGCACTGGACAACTGTTTCAAACAAAATCAGAAACATTCTTTATATTGACCTAACATAATTTTAAGATATTTATATTTTAGTGAATTAGATTCTGGATTCAGACCAACATCTCTATTGATTCCAAACAAAACATCTATTCTATATAAAGTTAATTATAATTTATTTTTTAATTATATTTCATTTATAATAATTATATATAATTACATTAAATATTTTATTTAAAAAAACACTTCAATGAATACTACATTAAAATTAGAGGATTATTTTTGGTGAAAGAGAATCTGCATTTTAAAACAAATATTTTTCAAATTTTTACAGAAATTTTTGCTGTGACAATTTACAAAGCTAGGGAATATATTTTTTGTTGGAAAAGAAGTTTATTCAGCTCATCTCAATGCAACGTCTCCTGCTATTTTAAGTTTCATAGTTACTCATCTACAGAATCCTTCTCTGAGACATGCTAAAAAGCACCTTAGCATAAAAAGACAATGAATTCTGAAAGTATTTACAGAAGAACCATATACAGGGAAGCTAGATCAAAAGAAAATTCCAACAAGCATCTCAAATAGCTGCCTGTGCTGCATGCGGCAGAAAATATTCCTACCTAAACAAACACAGCTGGAAACCAGCTCAATATATACTTTACAGCATTCTCACTGACGGATGCAAAATATACCTACCAGTCTCAGAGGAAGATTAGACATATGTAAGTGGGGGAAACCTTCACATTGATATTTTGAGGACATCTAAGAGGTTAGTGTGATTTCCTTGCACTGAGGCAGAAGTGCTACATACAATTTGGCAACACCCTCAGTGGCAAAATAGACTCCATGTAGTGGACCCAAGCTAGATCCAGAGCAAAGAGACACTCTTTTTAAAACAAGAAGTGACTGGCTGATCAGAAATCTGCTGAAGTCTAAGGATATACTCCTTTGACTGACGTCTCAGAAGGAACAAACAATTAACTTTATTTTTCAAGGGCATTGATCTCAGATTGTTAGGAGCCTGCTTTCTTTATGAGTAGTACCTGATCTGTACTTTTTACTTTGATCTGGTACTCTGTGATTGCATTTAACCTAATACATAATGCCCACTGGAGCCAACGTAGAGTAAGTCTTCACAGGTGACGTGGGGTAATTGTCTTTTATGACTCTCATCATGTTGTTGTGGCCAGGAAATAAAGTGAGCGCCACACACCTCTGAATGTATCTATTTATTGATGAAATTAGGGAGAATTTGACATTTGCTACCTGTTTTATTAATGCACACCTGGGATATGCGTTTCTCATTAGAGGCTGCACTAATAACATTATGGTTAATAATAATGGCAGACTACTACTTTGTGTACTGGGGACACTCCGAGTTGAAACGGATAGGCAGCAGCTTATCTCACATCTGAGGAAATCTGGAAATAGTAACTGAAAAACAAGTGAACAAACACTAAGAACAATAACAGAAAACCCTCTCATAAATTCTTCTTTTTCTTGTAAAGACTTCCCTTAGGTCCTCCTAGCGGAACTTTTTCTGTAGATTTTTTTTTTTCTATAAATTCTGCTATACTTGTATAAAAATAGATCATAAAACTGACAGTGTATGTGCTTGTTTTCCTGTCTTCAGACCTCTGGTTCTAGTCTCCTTAGCAGAATTTCTCAGGGTTTTGGAACTTTAGCCAATGTATCGATGCAGTGATGTGGATGAAATCAGATAAAGAGCATATTCCCAAACCTTCCTGCCATCTGAGTTCTACTAATACCATTTTCCTAATTTCTTGACTTGAAAATAAGGTTTAAAATGATATAGTACTCCTTTTAATAACATCAAGAAGAAAAGCATCAAAACCTGTCAAAATTATGTCTGTTTTTGTTGTAATTTTTTGCATCACTCCCATTGCAGAGCATTTACAATGTCAAAAAAAGCCATCTTGCAAGACACAGCTACTTCTTCAAAGAGTTTTCAGCTTGAGAGACTGAACAAATGTGATATGAGAAAAATAAGGACAAAAAGTTCACAACTATAACACAAACAATAAAAGGTATCCTTGGCCTCTAGCTAGCTTGCTTGTTTTTCAAATAAGTGAACTGTGAAGCAGTAAAACCAGGGGAAAATCAGCAAGGAAAAATGTTTCTGAAGGATCTGGAAGGGCATAAGCTATGCCTTGATGCTGTAGAAAACAAGGTATATTATACAATAATGGCATTTGTCACTCGCAAGGAAGATGGTCTTGGCAGAAGTGTGATGTGTTATCTTGAGAAAGGGCTCAAGTGAGGGCCAAAGAAAAGGAGCTCTTGGAAGTCAAACATGAGGTCACAAGGTTTGGATATTAATTTTGACAGGAAAAAGGCAGAGGTCAGATTCTAGTAAGAGCTAGGTGGAACAAAATAAGATTTGGACCTGAGTTCAACATGTGAAGGAAGCAAAAAGGAAGTGTGGTAGTACTCCTGGTGGTGGCACAAGAAAAGCAGTGGCATTTTTAACAGTTACTGGGTATAAGGAGGAAGAGTTCAAAAGCGTTGTCGTGCTTTGGGTGGATTCACCCTTTTGGCTTGCACCTTGCAGCCAAACACAGCCTTCTCTCTCACCCTCCCCCCGCTTTTCCCAGGGAGTAGGGAGAGAATTGGAAGGAAAAGGGCAAAGAAACTCACGGGTTGATATAAATACTATTTACTAAAATAAAATTATAATAACAACAACAGTAATAACAATATACAAATGAGTGATACACAGTGAAATTGCTCACCACCCGCCGACCAATGCCCAGCCTGTGCCAGCTAGTGATCCCATAGCAGAGACAGTCCCAAAACCGAAACCCAAGAGAATACCCCCATCTTCCAGTCAACCCTGGTTAATAGCCTGACATGACGTGATATGATATGGAATATCTCATTGGCACATCCAAATGCCAGTTTTGGGTTTTGCTATTTACTACCCTTCTCCCTCCCAGTCCTAATGCAGCTGTTAACCTTGGCCTTGAGCTCCAGCAGCAACTAATAACATTAGTGCTTTTATCAACACTCTTCTCATAAGAAATCCTACACTGAAACCAAAACACAGCTATTCTAGCTACTAAGAAGAAAATTAACTCTATCCTAGCAAAACCAGGACAAGTGAGTAATAGGCCCAGTTTCATGTTGAATACAAAACTATAAGAGGATACACTGGTGTGTGCGTGCCGGCATGTGTTAGGAAAGGGCAAAGCTGAGGCTGGGGCTGCCTTGAAGGAAAAAACTTTCAGTTTCACAGAGTAGATGGGTGTGGTGGTTTGACCCTCAGTAGGACCACGTGGTCCTGCACTCCCTCCCCCGACCTGATGATATGGGATTGGAGTCACAACAAAGGGGCACGGGATTAGGAATGAAGGACAGGGACGGCTCACTCACCAGTTATGGTCACGGGCAAAACAGACTTAACTTGGGGAAGAAAAATCAATTTAAT